CAACTCAAGTTTCTATTCTTCACATATTCATAAAAAATTACCATAACCCTTTTTAGTCATCTCTTAGCCAAACTACAGTATACGGTCTTAATCCTGTACTGCAATCTGCTAGCACAGGCCTCAGTGTCTTCACTTTATCCCATTGAATAACAGATCCCAAAGAAGATTGGGGCCTATATATTTAACTCTTAACCTATCCTCAGTCATCCTCTCCAATGCTCAAATAATTATTACAGAAAAATTATGACAAAACCTTTTGAGGAGACTGTTTGATTTTGACTCAGTTCTGATGGAACCAGGCTGGGTTCTGACTGAAACTTGCCTGGTTTTCTGCCATCCCACCCACCCAGCTCCTAGGCAATCCCAGGGCTTTTTTGGGGCAATCCCAGAGTAGCCCACCACCAAGTCTGAATGAAACCAAACTTTGAAATCCTCTGTGAATTTGAATTACTTTTCTCTAATTATTGTTCTACCCTCAAATTTTCAGGTAATGGGGTGCCCAGGTTGGAATATATTATTCCAGATAATTTCCTTTTTTCTAAATGGCAAGTGTTGGCTAAATTCTCACTACTAGAAAATGAGAAGCTCCAGGGATGTCTACATTTTGCATAAGATATTTAGATCCCTTTAGGATCTTCATAGTCCATTAAAATATTTTTTTTAAATAAGCATCTACAGTACAGGTTAAGGATAACACAGCAAATATCCCCAAACTTTGTAAATCGCTAACAAAACTAAAGTTCATCCCCTAACTCACAGTAATCAATTCTGGGCCAAATGCTTTAGTCCTTTCTCAGTTTCTACTCTGTCCTTATTCTGGCAAATCTCCATTTGACTTCATAGAGAACAGTGGTTTTCAATCTTTTTTCATTTGTGGACCCCTACAATTTTCGAATGGAGGTGTGAACCCCTTTGGAAATCTTGGACATAGACTGTGGACCCATAGGAGTATGCAGACCACTGCGTACTGTTCTATTGCAACAACAACCTTTCATGGAATCCTTAGACATAGTCTGCAGATCCCCAGGAGTCTGTGGACCACAGGTTGAATCTGATCTAGAATCATGCCAGAATAATGACTGTGTTAAAACTAAGTAAAGACTTCAGGATTAAAAACCATGAATGAAGTGATTCAAATGTCTATTAAAGTGACAAAACAGTCTTTTCCCCACCTAAACAGAGACATCGTATGGAACCATGGTTGTGTAGGGAAGACCAGTTGTAGCTAGCATTAGCCACAGAAACATCAATAATACATATTTTGATTCACTGCATAATACAGCAGACAATAATATTGAGTAACAGTACTAAAAATTCCATGTGGTTGCACTGCACAGACCTTTTGAAGTAGAAGAAATCCAAAGCTAGCTACAGTGACATGCTATGATTGAATAAGCCTTAAGGCAACTCTTCAGAGACCAGATACTAGCTCAAAATTTAACATTTTGAACTGGATACAAGTAGAAAGCAGGGAAAAACTCTACAAACTAGGCTCCATTATAACATATTTTAACTGTTAGAGACACCTTGCACAATCAGATTGCTGTTGAGGCTATTGGGACCACAGCCCATCCTGCTGTAATACCACAGTGGCAGGCAGAAGATGCGTAGCATCTGAACAGGGTGTGATGTAGAGCAATGCAAGAAGCCCAACCCACAGTATTATTAAAGCTTCAAGGGACATTGCTCAAAGTGCTGATGGCAGGAATATGAGGGCACAAAATAACTTTAGAAATTATTTGTTTTTATTATTGGGAACAAGAAAAGAAGAGGGAATTAAAAAAAATATAGGAGAGGATAACAGGGTCAAGGGGTCAGAATATTCTCCTCCCCCCCCCCCCACCCATCTCTGATCATACCCATTGCACATATGGTCAACATTTCAGATGCCTGAATTCTACCACCCCTAGGGAAAAAGGGCAGAGAAGTTGTGGACATATTTCCAGTGGTCAAACGGATATTTAGCTATCCATGTACCTGGCTGATACAGTGGTATCAGATACCTACATCACTATCCATCATATTATCCTTAGAACATTTTAATGGAAAACAGAGATTTGAGCTCAGACTTAAATCCTTTGGAGGAGAGTTCTTACTGACTCTCCAGAGGCACAGAGTGTGTGGACACTCCTACAACTTCTCCAAGTAAGAAAAAACCTCTTAGCACTGAAGTCACAGGCATAGACATGAAGCTACAGTTTGTACATCAAGGAGAATGACACCTGGGATGCAGGAAACTTATTCCAGTGCAACCAGTCAAGCTGTGATTGACAGAACACCATACTAAGAGATGCCTCTGCATCTCCACTTAGCTGTGCAGAGATTGCCAAAACTGCTAATACAGTTTGCTGGAGAATAGGCTAGAAGATTCTCATCATATATGCCAGAACCACTGACCTAAATAACAATTGATTTTTGACAGCAGATATGCATGAAGGTGGAGTAGCAGGAAGTCTTGAGAAATCTGAAGTGGAGTCCAGGGCAATTAGGTGCTTTGCCTTCATCTTGATAGGTGCTACAAATCCTGCTATAACTTCAGAGTCAACCCTGGGGCCAGAGGAGAACTGCATCAAAGCTATCAAGCAGGGTTAGCCCTAGGTTCCCCAGAGCCTTATGAGTAGTAAGAAGAGCAGAACCTCATCTAGTCCCCCACCCACACACACACAGTTTTGGCATATCTATGATACTTCCCAGCTGACAAGTTATTAGGAAGGCTACTGGGGGTAGAGTCTCCCCGGTGCATCAGGAGTGCAACAAGCACAGCAGCAGACCTGGGAGCTGGAGGAAATGCCTTGTTACTGTGCAGTGCCGATGCCAAACTGCTGATAGATGGGGAAGGAGTACTGCAGGATGCCGAGAGAGTGGGTTGTTTGTTGGTAGATTTTTAGAGCTGTCAATTATTTGGGGTGTTTGGAGGTGCGAGCTATAGGCAGCATAGGCCCAAGGCTGCCACAGCTGAAGCACCCTTAAGGCTTTGATATGTCCCCTTGGTTTTGACAAGCAGATGCAACAGAGCATACCATTTTTGGCATGGAAGAGATTCGTTTCAAGGTAAAGAATTTTGAAGAGTGATCCTGACTCCCAATGGGCCAATTATTTCACTCTGCACAGAAGTATTCAAAAGGCTTTTCGTAGTTGGATGTGAATTAGAGTTATAGGTGGTTTCAGAGGTGGTTAAGAAGGAGCTGAGTTGATCCACGTGAGGGTTGTCCATTTGAGGTAACATCATTCATTGCAACTTGCAGTCAGAGCTCATGTATCCAGCCTTCAGCCACACACAGGGCTTGTCTTTACTATAGTGTTAGCTCAAAGTATAATTCAAGTGTTGCCCCTAACCTCGCTCCTGTGTTCATACACAGATCTTTTGCTTGAGTTAAGAGGTGCTTTAAACTTGAGCTAACTGGCCAGTGAGATGATATGGGATTAGCTCAAGTGCTGCTGACGCTTGAGCTGGTCATGGGGTAGAGATGTAGCTACTGTGCTGCTGTAAAATCATGCTGTGCTGCTAAATACAAACACTCTGTGCAGCTCGAGTATTACTTTGCAGGGTGACTGCACTCAGTCGAGCTAGGATAGCTTGAGAGGGAGTTAACTCAAGTGTAGATAACTCAAGCTAATGCTGCAGTGAAGACAAGCCCTAAAACATTCATCATTGTAGCCATTCATGAAGGTCACCTTCTAATCATACTTGGCTCAGCTCTTGGAGCTTATTGAGAGGTTTCCCTTCAGCCACTGACTTTCTTACAAACAGTTTAAAATGCAGCTCAAGAAAAACAATCACCTCTTATTAATACTTATCAAATGGCAATGTACTTGCTGATTTACAAACAAAACAGAGTACCTGTCCCAATTAGTTTACAAAATAGTTCAGTCAAAGACAAAATAGAGCAGACACAAACAGTGACTGATCTGTCTGTATGAGTTGGAGCTGGTGAAGGGGTCTAGCAGTGGTTGTCTTGTAAAGGCTTTTCAGAGAAGGGTGATTTGAGCAGGGATTGGAAACAAGAGAGGTAAGTTGTCTGGCAAGTTCTCTGGAAGCTGAAATGAGGGTGACTGTTGAAGACAAGCAAGCAAGCAAAAAAGAAAAGTACCTTGAGGGGAGTGGGCTTCTTTTTAAGCCATTTATTTTTAAAAATGTAACAAGTTTTCATAGACAAAAATGATACAAAAGATCCATATTATAAAATACTATTCACTTCCCCAGAGCAAAATGAGTCCTAGCAGATGTGCAAGCTCCTTGCTGTCAAACTGTCAGAGAGAAGGAACTGAAGGTTGAAGGGTACTGGGATTTGCTGGGCCTCCCTGAGGTGTGTGGCGGCTGTCCTGTGACTCGGCAGCTTAACATTTGTTCTTTGATGTGTTGCAGAGTGTTTGTGAATTGTGGCCCAAAGGCTCAACTCCTGAAAGCAGTTCCAAGTTCTCAAAAATACATTCAATTGAAAGACTCAAACATTTTACTAGAAACAAACAAAAAACTGACTTTCTTGCCTCCCAAATTGTTCACTGAAAAGGAACCTTGCAGTCACCCGCATGTTCTTTACTAGGCCACAGATTTCATGAGGGGAGAGAAGTCTGTCAATGCTGGAGACTGAGGGCTGGCCCACACTGCTCCAAAAACACCTTCGCAAAAAAAAAATCCACATGAACCCAGTCTCTAAAACTGTTCCATCTTCACTCACTAGAGCTGTTGGATTTCCTACTAAGCTTTGCAGCAGTTTCAGATGGAAGTTCCTGTAAATTATTACTAGCTCTACACTTTTCATCTTCTAGATGGATATTTTATATTTCTGGTCTCTCAAAGACTAGATTATTACTTTTTTGCTTAGCCAGAGAATTGTTAATGTTTTCCTGGCAAAATCTCTACCAATATCCTTCTCCTGAAATGAAGACATAAGCCTTTTCCTTTGCCTTAATGAAAACCCTTCCAGCTACGCTGGCAGTACCTCTCTATATTCATTACAGCACCAGAAGAGAAAAAGTCAGTTATTTTTGTACTGTACCTGTTTAGTTCTCATTTTGGAATCTGATGACAGATTGTTGTAGGTATAATGGGCCTGTGTGACTCCACAAAAAAGGACTGCAACAATTCCTGAAATGCAAAGAAAGGCCAGAGTCAGCTGCTTCTATTTTCTACCTTGTAGTAGTCAAAGGGCGGGATTAGCCTGCTCAAAAACTAATTAGATTGTGTTAAAAGCTTTTTGTAATAGAGAAATGCTAAGGTATGTTCTACAATAATGTTTTTCAAGCAAACTAGAATTTTGATAGAAATCTTATCAGATCTTCCCCTCCCTCCATCCCAGACATTTCATTGCCATCTACTTGGACAGTTTAATATAGAGTGATAACTGCGTATAACAACCTCTGATCACAGTCAGACTGACAGTTATCTAAGTTTGTTACTCAATTATAAGATAATAAAAAGTATAGAAAATAATGAAACTGTGACATAGGCTAAAGAGGTGGGGAAAATGTTAATTTTCTCCCCCAAATGCAATTTTGAGCAGTGGGTGCTGAAAGAGTGCAGTATGAGAAGGCCATTTTGCCCTCTGCATGTCTGTTTGCCTTGCACATTGCACACTGCTTATTATAAGGCAAACAGCAAAACCCAGCTTAAAATACCACTCTGGTGAGAAAAAGCTGTCGCCCAGAATGACAGGGTCAGTGACTGTAACGGAGTGGCAGTAATTATATTTCCCCAGCCTGAGGGAGGTCATGAGGAGAGAGAAGGAGCAACAATCTTATCAGGAATATAAAGGTTCTCATATATGGTAACATTAATTATTGTTAAGCTGCTCTTCCTTCCCAGTCCCACAGTAAGGTGCTTAGAGCTGCTGATCAGAAAGTAAACACAGTATAACAATTGAAAACATTGAAAAATTCATTAATAACATACCATCTTAAAGTTAGATAAACATCAAAGGGACCACACAGAGCAAAAAAGGAAAACTGGGGATAAATAAGTGGCCAATGGTGACTGTACAAAAGCACCTCTGGAAAAAAGAAAACTCTCTTAAATGTGGGCTGCAACTAACTGAGAGGGAATGATCCTGGGATCCTCCAGAGTGAAAACACGACTGCCTAGTGGATGTAGGCCCCACTCATGTAAAGTGATCCTGGTGGGTGGACTCTCAGGGAGTCCCATTGACTTCAATTAGAAAACACATGGGTATAGGAGCTCATGCACTTGGCCTAATCTCCAAAAAGCAGGTGGTGAAATCTCCAAAAAGCAGGTGGTGCTCTGTGTAAATGTTAATCTGGAGAGGCTTAGTGAGGAGGTTTCAAATGTAGACCAGGGGCTTTAAAAAATAACAGTGCCAATGTAAGATAATCCACTATTTCATAAGTAGTAAAAAATGCAGGGCAGGCTTAATATGATCAGATACTCAAGCCAGTGAGCAAATGAGTGGTGCATTCTGAACAAGCTGCAAGCAATAGGGATGCCCTGCAGTAAACTTGGCTAAAAAGGGAGGGTGAAGGTGATCCTGGGGATGGGACTGGCTAGTTTGTAGAAGCCTCAGATTAACATTTGAGATATTGAATGCTAATCAAAGCCTCTCAGATGTTTGAAATTGGGGGTATCAATGACTGAAGAAGAGTGGGAAACATTTCCTAGGACCAAAATGAGGATGCAAAAAAAAGGAAGGACAAAGTAAGAAGAAATATTTAAAAAATGACAAACATCATTTGAAGGAAAAAAATAAAAAGGCTAAAGACTAAATAAAGTAACATGATTCTTTTACTAGCCCTTCCTCAGTTTTCTGACTGTCTTTAGACTGCTAGATGTAAAAGTATTGTCCAGCCGAAACCAGTTTTCGGTACTTTAAGTCTCCCTTTCTTTTCATTTCTGGGAAGACCTGAGGAATGGCATCCATGTGCCTTTGATGGAAGAAAGAAGAAGGGGGTAGGAAAAAAAATGAACAATGGCACAAAGAACATCTGCCACCAAAGAGAAAATGAAAAACCTTATTTTCCCATGCAGCAATGCAGAAATTCTCTTGGCTTCTGAATTCTATTCACCTGACTGTATTTCTATTGCACGAATACAAGCTTCTACAAACCAGGAAAATTTCACTGAGCTTTAACTGCCCTTTCTTTGTTTTTGTAATATTTCTTTTAATTCAGCACTGGGCTCATCCCCTCAGCTGGATCTATTGTGCAAGGGTCATTAGAGAGCAGTGCTGGGAATTTCAAGTTTATGTTAAGGACTCATTCTCCCAAATGGCTTCAGTTCCTCTTCTAGGGCTTGAAGGCTGCCCTGTATTTTGTGGTCTAAAGCGGATGTTGGAATGTTATGGCTAAATAAATGCTCACACAATGAAAAGCCAGTTTAAAAAAAATATGGCTAAGCAGGACTATTTCTAAATATCACTAGCCCCTGGGTCAACAATAAAAATTAAAGTATGAATTTCCTGTTCAGTTTCCACTACATGAGCCATCATTCTGCCAATTTTTTAAAAATTGACTATTAAATTCAACCCTGGTTGTAAAAATTGATTTGTGACTGTCAAATACAATTGTTAATTATAGGTGGGATAAGTGTCTATTTACTAAAAAGCAACAGAGGGTCCTGTGGCACCTTTGAGACTAACAGAAGTATTGGGAGCATAAGCTTTCGTGGGTAAGAACCTCACATCTTCAGATGCAAGTGAAGAAGTGAGGTTCTTGCATCTGAAGAAGTGAGGTTCTTACCCAGAAAGTTT